CCCCAAAACCCCAAAACCCCAAAACCCCAAAACCCCAAAACCCCAAAACCCCTTAATTTTAAGTAGGGATTGAGGTGGATTTTTAGTGAGGAAATAAGCAGGGTTGGAGGAGTTATTGGTTAATGAGTTTTTAAGGAGGAAAGATATGGTTCTGGAAGGGTTTGTTAGGAATTAATTGCTTTTTCTTTGCTTGGAAAAGAATTCCAAGAGGATGTGCTTCACTCATCTGTAAATCATTTGATTTTGATTATCTCCTTGAGTGAGTTATTATAGATGATAAACCTATGTTTATAAACTTTGTATTACTTGAAGTATTAAGAATTATGTAAGTTATCAAACCATTCCTGAATGTTCAGAATCTTTTCCTAGAGAAGTGCAAATCTCATAGAAGTCATGATGTTCTCTTGCTGTGTTTTAACTGCATCGAGATAGCTATTAGAAAGCAAGTTGAGCTTGAGCATGAGCATGAGCTATCTGGGAAATATAATGTCCCAATGAAGGTTCTTAACATAGAAGCTCAGAGAAAAGAAACAATAAATTTTATTTAAAGAAGACATAGAAGCATAATTAGAGGAGAAAAGAAGATTCCAGAAGAAAGACTTCTAGAATGTACAAGGATTGCATCATGGAACCTCAGAATATTCTGGAAGGAGAAGTGTTAAAAGAGGAACATCATGAATCCTTGAAGAAATTCTTAAGCTCACTTGAAGAGGGGTTCAAAGAAATAGATTTTTAGTTCTTAAAAGCTTCACTTAAATTCGAGCCAAGACATATACCATCTGTTTTGGCCAAGAGACAGAACATTTATGGAGAGTTTATCGCTGAGAAATATGGAAAGAGCGACAAAATTCTTGACTTCATAATGATTTTGAGGTAATTCTTTATTGATAATCTCAAGCCAAAATATCTACCAAAGAATTGATATGTAGGCCATTCAATCGAAAGAGTGTCTGGAGGCTAAATCTCTTTTCTACTACAGGGAAGATGGTTAATAGTGATATGATTTCATCTGCTAAAAGTCTAACATTTGTATCTATATGTAGAGGAGTTGCGGGGTTTTGGGGTTTTGGGGTTTTGGGGTTTTGGGG